AAGTTAGTACCAACTTCTTACATTCTACAAAAAAAAAACAGATGAAGCTTATTTGTCTTTGTTATTAGGCAACAATTAAGTGAAGACAGTACATGTGTGTAGCAAACGGTATAACAAGACGCGAACAAAAAAAATTAATCATTCTCTCGAGTACATATATACTCGAGTTTGAACCTGCACGATATTCTACTTAAAAGCCTGCATCCTAAATCCATTAACTACCAATTTTAGTTATCAATCAACCTTTCTATAGAACAGATGTGTCGCTTCGTAATAATAGTACTAACCATCATTGAAAGCTAACTCTGCCTCATTCTTCACTAATGCTTAATACATTTAGTTGTTATACTATCATCATTTAATGCAGTGTATCCAAAATGGCAAAAATATTTTGGAACATTTTCTGTGATAGCAAATGAAGTGGAATTCTTCAGAAATGTTTACAGTGAAGTGGTCTTTTTTTTAAGTTACGTTACTGTCTCTTCATTGTTTCGTGATAAAATCTCGTTGCATATTTGAACATCGTGTACGAAGTGTGAAAAATTATTAAGAGCAAGTGTCTAAATGCAATATTATGGAAAAAGGAATAAAAGAAAAGACAGAACAAGTGTAGTAGAATGTTCAAGGAAGAGGCTCTCAATCTCGAGGAAGATTACCCTTTGTTTTTTGACCGTGTGTGAGTGTACTTACGTGTGACCTACTGCTCAGCTGACCGGGGTTGAAGCAGCGCGCCCCGGAAGTCACGCCTTCAATTTTCAAGTGTTAATATTTTAGGAACGATGCCTCAGCATGCCGAATGGTAAAGTATTTTTTTAATTGTATTTGCGTGCAGGATATGCATGTTCCTGATACGGTTGTTTATTTTTGAGACACCCTGTGTAAATGCTTTATAACACGAAGATATACTATTCCATGTTCAAAATGATAGAACCTTGAGAACAATAAATTATTAATTAACACTTAATTGCTGACTACTAACTGACTCTTCAATATTATTTTTTTATTAATAATAACAATCAATAATAATAAAAGCTATTAATAAAAATTAATAATAGTATTGAATTATTAAAAATCAATTGTAATGTCCACATATTCTTTAATCAATGGTAGTACGCCGGACAAGGAGTGTCTCCATTGCTTTCAAGATTCGTCCTCAAACTCAAGTATTTTCTATTTTCAATATTTCATTAAAAGTTTCTTGTGTTCATTTACTTATAGCAAACTAAAGAAGTCATTTTGAAGAGATATTGTTATAGTGTATGAGTGTATTGACAAGTGAGTCCGCTGTGTGTGTAACGAATAAAAGTTCAAGACGTTCGAATAGGTATCCTAGATTATTGATTTTCTAAAATATTCATTTTTACATAAATATCAAATGAGTCTAAAATATTCTAAAACTAGTATTCTAGAAACTAATATTTTAGGAAGTGTGCGAGTGAGATGGACATACCCGAATGTATAAGTATACTGCGGGTGTAAATTGATTTTACTATGTGTTTCCGAGTGTCGTAGAAATAATTTATAAAAGATTGTGTCATTGTTTATGTCAATAAAATTCTCTTTTTCCTACAATATTTTCATAGTTTTATCATTAATCATTCTCTCGAGTACGTATATACTCGAGCTTGAACCTGCACGATATTTTACTTGGAAATCTGCATTTTTAAAAACCATTAACTACCAATTTTAGTTATAAATCAACCTTTCTATAGAACAGGTGAGAATAGTCCCCAAAATGTGGTTAAAAAGTATATCTCGTGAAACATTAATTCTGAAGTAAAGAACTTAACATAAACGCAATGTGTCTTCGAACGATTTACGTTGCAGACCATAAATCAAACAAACCAAAGTGTTGAATTTTTGCGTTACAATGAAATTTTACAAGGTACTCACCGATAGGAATAAGAAATGCTTATTAAGCATAGGTTCTAGAAGCAGTTCACGCGTTGCAAAGTACAAAATCCCGATAAGCGTCTTCCTGCCATTTGAATACAAGAATAATATCCGCGAGCCATAAATAAAATTTCCTGTTTCGCATTATACTGAAGTTCAATAATGACTTCCAGGTCAAACCTCGATACTTACCACTTCCAGAGCGGTCTGCCTGTTTCTTTGAGCCGCTTGTTCCACACCTGTATTTACTGCGACTAAGGAAGGTCAGTGAAGGCCAATAAATTTTTCCCTCGAAAAGTATCAAAGAAAGAAGAAAGGAATGATCACTAACTTGACGTTACAGATTAATCCAGGTTAACAATGTCCGACAGCCTCACTCCTTTAATTTCGAGATCGTGCATAAAGTGTTTAGACATTACACGAATTCTGCTACTTCTTTCGATTGTCCTTTTTGTGAAACCGACAAAATGAGATTAATCCAAACGAGGTCGATTTTAATTAATTTTTACCTGGAGGATCTTCGTGACGCATAGGTAACTTCCCACGATTACATAGGATAACGACACCTAATATGGAACACTTGATTATGAAAAGCTCACCAAAACGAGAGATATGCATTTTTTCCAATGAAATCCGCATCGAAACACGAAGAAATTAATAAACATTCGTATACTGGTAGATAAGAATGCAACAATTTAAATGCGTTCAAACTACGGTAAAAAATGTAAATAAATGGCATTCTCATTATTTTTAGCAGTAGAAATGAATATTTATGGAATTAAAACGGATAAGGATAAGTAAACGTTCCACTTGTTTGAACTTATATTATGCTAATTTTTTTCTTTTCTTTCTTACATTGGATATATGAGTAACACTGAAATATTGTGGTGTTCCATATTAGGAGCTGTTCCATATTAAGCGCCGTTACCCTATTTAAAAATGTGAATGCTAAAAATACGAAATAAATTTTAATTCATGTAATAACAATAAAATACGAATGAAATGTAGGTGAGGTGAACGTGTAGTACTGAAATGGTAACGAAAAGAAAATACGAGGCCAAGTAAATTATAGGCAAAAGGTTGTCCGTTTTTTTTAAACTTCACCCTGAAGTTAAATTATTATGAATAGATGATTTGCTCGGTGCACTGCTCTGGGAAATGTTAACGGAAGTGTGTTTCGCGATGCGAGAAAAGTTTGTTGACAGAAATACATATGAGAAGAAAAGGTCTCGAGGGTTATGAGACGACTCGTGTGAGTTTTGCTGAAGAAATTGGGCCCCTGCTCGATGAGCTAAGTTGCAACTTCGTTATTTTATGAAGAAGTTCTCAGAGAAAGCTTCTCTCGATGTAAGTAAACACGATCATTTTTCTACTGAGTGTTTTTGGTTACGAATAAGTTGAATGATAATTCGATATAAAGTAATTTGGATTTATTTATGTAAATCACGTGTTACGTTAGTACGAATCTTTTCGTTGATTGGTTATATCACTCTAAAGATGAAAGAAAATGAACAGTCAATAGCTGAATACGATTATTTTGTGTAAATTTTCTGGGTGTTGCGAATCAGGCAAATTGAAATTATTTGCCAATTTTTCCGAATAGGTAAAGTGAAGAGTAGTATACTAATATTACCACATTATTCAGCGAGTATTGATTATAACGCAGACTAATAGACGCAAATATTATTGTCTGTTATGTTAAGTTAATTTAGTTGTAATACGTATAACTTCGGTTGCACAACCGCGATGTGTTTTATTTCTAAGAATTAAATTAGCATTGATTGCTACTACGAATAACTGTTATTAATAAGCAGCCACTTGTTGTGAAAGTAAAAATAAAAGAATATTATTAAAAATATTATTAAGACAATACAATTGAACTTGTTTATGTTACAACTTAAGAGAATTTAGCAGATGTTTGAAAAGTCTTAATGTAACTAGGAAAACACAGATATGTTAAACAACGGATATATTTAACGTAGATACTAATCGCAGGGACTTCAGTGAAATATGCCTGACAGATATAGATTAGTATAACGATTGACAAGTCATTGATAATATTTCATGATAATCGGTTCGAAATCAGAAATTTCGTGAGCTAGCATTTTCGTCTGACATTAATACCAGCTATTTATTATAGATTTTTAAGAGAAGTATTAATGAGTCTATTCTATCTTCTGTTCATGGAAGTAAATATAAATAAAGAGCGAGCAAGTTCAAGGAAACAGTCAGACTGCCATGGAAGTGACCATTTTTATCGACATAACTACATTAAATTATTTATTATTGTTAAATGTACCAAATTCAGGAGTACCAACTTGAATCTACCTCTAAACTGATTCTTTCGTTTACATTCAGTGTGCGGTGAAGACACTAGTGTTACTAAACAATTGTAATAAAAAAAAATACACTTCAAATTGCAAGGATTCATTTTACAATCTATGTTCATTACTTAATTTTTACTCATCGCGATAGGGATTATAAATTGTGTAAATAAACATTTTTCATTCTATAAATATGTTCATACCATTTTTATTCAAAGTATTTCATTTAAATTTAAAAGTAACCCTTCGCAGTCGTTTGTTTATTTTCAATCACAAAACCTCTTTTACCGGTCCAGTCGTATAAAATCTAATATTTATGTTAAATAAAACTCTATTATTGGAAAATAATAAATTTCATTTATTGTGTATAGTTATACGTTATGCTGTTGCCGTCCACTTCATGGAAATTAATTCTGACTGATATGATAGTACTGTATAAAATTCATACGATTACAAAGGGTTAATACACATATAACAGTTGAACGGGCTTTCTACTATGATTGAACATTTCCAACAGTTTTATTACACCGATCTCCGGAATTAATCTTCAAAAGACCAGAAGGATTCGCTTTGACATTCACGCCTGCACACAAGTCTTTTGTTGGTCAGAAAAATTGACGTAGACCATTAAACCATTTTTCATGTGTAGGTCCATTGGACGTTACTGTCCATTGTGCTCTTTACGGGGTAAATTACAAACATTCCATAGCAATTCATTTATGTCTTTAACATTACAACTACCGGACATTTAATACGATTAACATGCGATCCTCATAAAGCCTATAATAATAACATTTTCTCGGTTCCTCATTTTTTTTTCCTCAAAAAACTCATTTGGTATATTTAATCCTTTGCACTCAGGAGATGATTCTCAGTCACCGCTTAATTTGACGCAGTAAGACTATAGAATCTGATATTTAATGTTGAACGTTGTGTAATGCCTCGATACGTAAAATATTGGAATAAAATAGCTTTGTTTCTCAATGTAATTGCTATTTCTCTTCGAATTAATTTCAAAGAATATTGTCTTCGCCTCGTCGAAAAATGTTAAATATTTCTATTGAGAAGCTTCCGAGAGCAAACGATTAATATGTTTAAAATACCAATCATTTTGACGGGCACGTAGTTCTAGTGTTAACTAAAACATAAACACTTCTTTTTCATTTGATTAATTAAGTAATTATGCAAATCATTGCTGGAATACATTTCATGTAATAGCAAAATTACCTTCTCTTACTAAAATGTTTGTTAGAAAGTTCTGTCCTTTTCTCAAAAGAAAATTTAATGTATATATTTTTAATCTTAAGAAAAGAATTAGTTAATTGTGTATTGGCTCTTGTTTTTTTATAGTACTTCCTCCATCGATTAACTAGGCCATTTACATCGGATCTCAGGAAAACCTTATCCTTTGGTCAAAAAAAGAAAATAATGAAAACCATCTTTGAACCATACACACTTCAATTTAAATGGTCCAAAAACAGAGCATATTTATGAGCTTCCGTTGCGTTATGTCTAAATTCATGAAACATTCATTTTTTCGTTCTTCTATGTGAATGATATAATTTTCTTTTACCTGATCCGATCCACTGTTCCTTAGATTTTAGTTCAGTTGAGTTGCAAAAGCATCTAAATGCAAGGCGAGGTTAAGAAATTCGTTCGGAATGCAACAGATTTACTTTTTCGTGTAATCGAGTCGTTTCTTTAACGCGGCATTTCAGGATGCATCTATATGTTGTACAGATTATATTACTGAGACCACAAAAGTGGGGAATAATGTTCTGATCACGACACTGTGAAATATAACCATGGTAATTGAGGCTTGACGTCTAATTGCAAGGTTACAATCTAACGCGATATATAGGGTGTTCCGCGAAATCGGTTGTAAGCCGACATTTAAAAATACATAAGAATCCGTTACCACTAAAACTACCGAACGTCCAATACGATTAATATGTAATCCTTATAAGAATTTTGGTGATAAATTTTTTTCGGTTTCTTCGTGCATTCGTGGTGGTGTTAAAAAAAAACTATTTTTCAAATCATTTCGAATCACTTTTCAATTAATAACTCGATTTATGGAATCTTTGACCGTGCTATTAGAGGGTTGTCTGTATATTAGAATATAGGGTACATTTTTGTATATAATAAAAGAATATAGCAATCAATTAAAAAGTCGTTAATATTAAATTATGAATTTACCAATGTGAATAAGAGTTCGACATAATCCTTCTTCTATTAAAAATAAAAATTGAATCAAAGTGCAATATCATGACGATATCGTGAAAAAATTTACTTTATATTTAAAGCATGGTTTGTAAGCTGATGCTGCATTTATACACGAAGATGAACGAACATTTTATTGAAAGAAACTTATTCGAGCAAATTACGTTGAAATAAATAACAACTGCAGATGCTTCGAAGAACGCAAAAAAGGTTCGAGTAACTATTCAACCTGCCCTTCTGCTTTTACAACGCAGGGTTCTGTTTACTTTAATAAATATGTATTTGTAGCTTCAGTTTAAGGATGACATGCTATATTTCCACATCCTTGTATTATATTTACATTCTTGAGGACCTTCAGTGCTATCAATAGATGTTTCACAAAGTATCGATTATAAATATCCCCAGGAATAAAAGTTTGAAGGGTTTATATCTGGCGAACCAGTTGACCAGCGAATTGGATCGTAACGTCCTTCGACCTTCGAAGACATTAATTAAACGTGTTCTTAAAATTAAAACATTATGATCTGAAAAACTATCTTGTCGGAAATAGATATTTCCCAGCATAGGTAATACTGGCAGATATCCTGCCAATTTTAAGTAGCGATATAAGGTAGCCATCGATCCAACGTTAATATATATGATAAAGAGAAATATGGTTTAATCAAAGCAATATTCTTAGTTTCACTTTGAAATTATTATATTTAATATTTCCATCCTTAACACTAGAACTATCGAGCGTTTAACATTAATACGTAACCCTAGTAAAAACTGTGACAATAAATCTTTTTCTACTTCTTCGTATATTGATTACAATATTCAAGTGAAACTGTTTATTTTTAAAATCATTTCAAAACGAAAACCGAAATCCATCATTTTGACAGGTGCGGTAGTTCTAGCGTTAATAAACTCCTTCTCTTATAATATCGAGTCAGACTCGTGATGAAAATTTTCAATCGCATTCGACAAATCTAAATGTTATTTATTTATTTCTAATATAAATCAAATGTTACTTGTTTATTATCAGTCTTCAATCGTAGAGTAAACGTAGACAGAAAATAAACGTCTAATTCTTTTCTGCTATTTCTAAATTATTAATTATAAAGTAGTTTTATCAAGTACAGTTGTGAAAGAAATCATAGGACAAGGGGTTAATAATACCTAGCGATATATGCAGCGAAATGTGTTTCTAAGCCTGCAATTCGGGAGCCGCTTCCACTTCCCAACGTGATCGTTGGCCGATAGGAAACATACGTACCATTTTTTATTAAATATTTTGGTATTATAAGTATACATACATCCTAATACAATAGAGCTTCGATTATCCGTTTTAATTGGATAACAAATAATAACTCTGATAAATGAAGAAACTCTAGAATATATTCTGAGATTTAATCTAAGAAGTTAAATTATTGTGTCTGTGAATGACCAAACATTGAAACATATAGATCGAGAAAAATATTTTAGTGACATGGTTAATCGAGGTCCTACTATATACTCATTAGATACTCCCACATAGTGCCTTATTAGTATCAACTTAGTTTTAGAATTAATAGTTATGTTAGTTTACCAAGTACTATTGATAGAACTTCTTGCATATCTTAGCAAGAAATAAAACTCCAGATTTAAAATTGCTATATTGTCTGATTAAGCAGCTTCTCAAATTTTGTCTTTCCTTTCGTTTCTGTTTCCACTAAAAAGGATTGATAATCTAATTTATTTTTATTTGCCAGTTATTTGACCGGTTATGGTAAGAAAAATAGGGTTCTCCTTCGTTCCTAATAAACGTTTACTAGTAAAAGTTTATGCCTTATCAATCATCGATAATTAACGATATAGAATGTAAGGAAGAATGTTGTTATTTAAAAAATTGTGGTAAATATTTACATTATGAGAGGCTGCTCCGATGACCTTGACCTTAACCTTGACCCTGTCGTCAGGAGCATGATTCTAAACATTTTTTTTTGTCTACTCGTTACAAAAAATATATCTGAAAAAGAGCGATTATGGTAATTATTTAAAAATATTCTCGTATGACCTTGAACTTTACATATGTTGTTAAGATCATTGTTTTGAGTGTCTTCAAATTTTGTGGTGTTCATGATTGGTTAAAAAATTATGGAACCTTTTTCAGTTTTGTTCCCAATAACTTCCTCTGATTTCTTGTGTTTTATTTGAAATGAACTTCAAAATACAGTTGGTTAGGAAAAATTCTTTTTAAACAATTTTGTTTTACGAACTACATCAGCAGTAGCATTAAAACTTAACCGATATGTAATATTTGTGGAATTTATGAATATCTCTTGTTATAAAAATTATTACTACTTATTATTACTTTAAATTATACAGTACTTTTGATTCACAATACTTCGTCATTATTTATGTTGTTTATCAATAATAATTTGTAAAACAGCGTTTGTCCAGTCGGCAGTAACTGTTTCATTATCAATTTCCCTTTTACCCTGTTCAGAGAAGTTCGCGTTTTGACTGTCAACGGTGCTTGGTAGCGTAATAAAGTAGATTTCTATCTGTGATTATTTGACATTGGCGTTAGTGAATACCTTTGTGATAGGAGCTTGTCTCAGCGAATCAAAATCAGAGAAACTGGCGTGGAATTTTGATTGCTCTTCTGGTGATTGTCGCGGTCCTGGCTTTGATTGTGACATCAGTTGCCCTGTTGACCCCGCCGGATGAGGGCCCTAGAGTACGGGGTACAAGACTACGGCTTTCCGAGGTATGTAATAATATTAATTTCGAAATGATCGATAACGTGATTGCCATCAGTTTTAGTTGAAATTACTTTTTCATTTACAAAGGAACCGCAATTGTTTCGGGAAAGATATTTGTACTAAAAACAGATATCTAATATATAATATTATAATAATAACAAATATGTAATATATAATACTTTAATTATTTATTATATAATATATAATACTTCAAAGTCATATCTATATATATTACACATTTATTTCGACAATGATTTAAGAATAGAAGGATGACAAAAAATTAGTAATATTTGCTTTAATAAAAATAAAATTAATTATTAATAGGTACTATCCGGGGAATTAACGCCACTTCTCTTCAATGGATCATGGACAAGCGAGCAACACATATGCTACAGGGATGTTTGGGGTGGAATTTCGCTATTGCACGTTGTTCAAGATAATGTTACCTCCCGTAGTTTAATGCCCAATGAAACATTTGTAAGTATACATGCACTGTTCAGATGGAACGACGTAAAGCTTGTTCACCAAGAAAGTACGGTAATATAAACAGCGTTTATATAAAATAACGTTGAAAATAATACTTCCCAGTTGAATTTAATTTTAACGTGAATAAGATGAAAGAGGATTTAATATCTTCATTGATAAGTACAATTCTGTAGGAAGTAATACGGAGCAAGTCGTGTAAACGGAAACCCTTAAATATGTCCATTATTCATGATTATATAACAAATTTTTGGAGGAAATTATATTGTCCTATAGAATACATGCACCGAAAAAAAAATCGTTTTTCAAGATCATTTTTCCATGAGATTTCGAAGTCCCTGATATTTTAAGAAATGTAATTACATATTTTATATATTCATTTTGATAACTTTGAATTCAGTTATTTCTTTCATCTGATATGGTATTCATATAAATATTTCATAGTATTATTGAACACTTACTTGTTTATAAATTTATATCTAGGTATGTTAATCATGATACAAAGTTACATTAGAAAATTAAAATTAATAAGTTACTGAAGATAAATTACTCATACGTTGTACTTTGTTGAATTTATCATTTTACTTTTTACCTATAAGAATATTTGAACAAAATTATGTGGATCCATTGAAGAAAAAATGTGAGCGAGTTTAAAATTTCGTGAAAAATGACCTTGAGTTTTTCTTTTTATATCTGACCCATAAAACAGTGTTCGTTTGACCTGAAAAGATTTTCTACGTGACCATAAATAATGAAGATACATACATAGGTGCTTTCATTTAGATACATGACCCACCCTGTTTATTTGATTATGTAGATTAATTCAGAAGCACCAGGGTGGCTTCATTTGTATGTAACTAAGTTACAAATGTTAACACTCTTCAACAAATTTTTACTCTTTTTATGTTCTTCAGCATTCGATAAATGAATCTTGTAGACTTCTGTGTGGTAAATATGAATTTGAAAACCGGTTTTCTTGATCATACAGAAATTTAAGAAATTTAATTTTGAAAAGAAGTCGACTTTTCAACTTCAAACATTTCTTGGTCGTTTGAAGTTACTTAACTATGAAAGTTTTACAAAGCTTTGCACTGATAACGCATGCAAAATTTGACTTCGATCGTTGAAATTTTTTTGTGACATCGTGGCAACCAATTCGGAAAATGTAATTTCCAAAAAAACACGTTTAAGGTTTTGAGAGTTTGTGGTTTGACTATGATCGTATCACACAATAGGTTCTCTAACATCGTTATTTTCTCCAACATCTCTACGTAATTTTAGAAGCACACTTGTAAAGAGTTGTACACTTAACATATTAAATTTTCATTAAGAGTTCATTTTTATGTACAGAGAAGACTGAACCCTGCCAAGTTCTTGTTATCGCCGGATCGTAAATACTTGCTTCTAGCTCACAATGTGAAGAAACTGTTTCGATACTCATATTTAGCACAGTACACAGTTTATGATGTAAATACACGGTTAGTAAAGACCTTCTACAATATACTATCTACATATAAGATACTTTAATTTAACTTGTATAGCATAAACAAAATTTGGTAATATAGTAAAGTTCCAATTATTAACCGTATGATAACAATAGACGAATAAGACAAACACGTCCGACCTTTCATATCCTCTGAAGTCAAATCTGTCGTTACCCACTTCAATTTCATTTGTTTATAACTTTCTAATGTCACACACTGTATATTTGTAGAATTTATTGTCTTTTAATTTCTTTATACACTATATACAAAGATTACAGGTTTTTTAACACTGATGTTCAAATATTTTAAAAAGTTCTAAGAACTATCAGGAGAATTGGAACTTTACTATACGCTGCCATTATATATAGTTGAACACAGTGTTTCTAAGTGATACTAATTGTAAGCAATACACATCGTCAGTTTATTATTGCAGGGAAATTATACCGTTGACTCCATACCCAGAGAAAGAGGGACATCCTTATCTTCTATTGGCACAATGGACTCCACGTGATCATGGACTCGTTATGGTGCAAGATTATGATATTTATTACATAACTGGTCCTATGAGCAATACAGGATATCGTGTTACCAATACATCGATCCCTGGTATTCTATCAAATGGATTACCAGATTGGCTTTACGAAGGTAACGCAATCATATAACTTGTTCAAAAAGTAGCGTGGAGTCGACTGACATATTTCAAATGTTATTATTGCGTCTGCGCGATAGCCTTTCGTAGTTGGCGAAAAGGAAAACGGTGGAGCAGAAAAACATTTCATGTGCAGTAATGCGCACTTATGCGTTCGCCATTTTGTCCACTTATGCGGCCACCATTTTGTCCACTTTAGCGTCCGTTGCTAATCCCCCTAGTTTTTTGAATTGGAACTATAAAATAAGCTTGTAACTTTTAGATAATAAATGGCATACTCTGATGTCCTTTATACACAGTTTCGTTTATTTTTTCCTGTTCCCACATATTATTTATAATTACTTGAAATGTGTCAATGGGCTCTGTCATCATTAACAAATTGTTACAAGAATATATACTACAACTATTAGAATTTTAATGTTATATTGTATTTCGAATATTATAGAGGAAATATTACATTGTGCGGAGGCTATTTGGATGTCACCGGATGGTCACATGATGCTGTATGCATCGTTCAATGATTCACTTGTTGAGGAAATGCACATATCGTGGTTTGGAGAAGAAAACAAGGCTCTTTATCCTGATATACGCTCTCTTCGTTATCCCAAGGTAGTTTATTTATTTTTATTAAATTAACGGGACACTCTGTATATTTATTATTTTATCGAGAATTCTAAATACGTACTATAAAATTTCACGGATTAAGTGCAGTTTATATATACCATATAGCGTGGAAGAAGTTATTGCTTACAAATTGAGAAATACAATTATATGTTATTTGAACTTTCTAGCCGGGAACTCCGAATCCAGTGGTGCGACTCTACGTAGCAGATTTGGCAGATCCAAAGAATATTCATACGAAGGTAGTGAAACCGCCACCTATCATCGAGCATGTGTGAGTTTACAAATGAATTTTAGAGTAAAAGATACAATAAACTTTCTTTTCTCAAAATCTGCATGGAACAAGTAGTATATTGTCTACTATATTTTTATTTATTTAATCTCTTAGCTAAATTGTTCAATATCATAACGTAATGGCATTTATTCATTTTTGCTTATGTTCATTGTTAATGCCAACATAGCAATAGACATATTATAGGAACTCCTTAATATGTATCGTTTAACGAAAAAAAAACATAGTTAGGTAAATAAATAAGGAATTTCAGTTAGTGATATTTTTTTATGTTTATACGGTAAGAATGCATCATTGTAGGTTGTCCTTGTTCCCAGAATACAAATTTCGAAATAGAGAAGGAATATTATGAATATAACATGTAAAATATATGGCAAATACGTCAAGGAATAGTATTTTCAAATGGATGAGTGGTCAACAATGGAATTGTGCATGTGTTGCGTTAACAACTATATATTAAAAATGCAGTAGAGTTTCTTGTGTTCGAATACTTAAAATTTTAGAATTTTATTATCCATGCATACTATTATTTAAATATTATACTTCTTAACAATATATACATTTTCTGTTTTGATATGATCTTCACACAATAATTCGTAATATTGTGTTTTATTAATAGAAAATACAATAGATTCATAACTATTCATGTAAACCATCAATTCTTTTTATACACATTTAAATAATTAACCTTAGTATTTACAAAATGGTCGTGTATCATTAGAAAGTATGTTTGTTCCAACGACGATGTCTCACTATGAACTCGAACATGAGAAATTCCACTTTAATGTATTCAGAACATGAAAGATTAAATCTGTTAATATATTTTATACCTATATTAGACAGTATTATATTCATAAGACCATAACTTCTGTTTATTGATAGAGAACATTACTTTACCTCGGCTTCTTGGGTGTCTTCAACGGAGGTGTGCATAACGTGGTTAACACGAGCTCAGAACCTTTCGGTTGTAACTATGTGCAAAAGCCCAATGTGGCATTGTCAGGTACGTCAGTCTTTATTCATTATAAAAGTATTTATACACGTTAATTGCGGATTAGATATCTTGTTGCCAGCCTTGTCCAGCAGCTATCCATTCTTTTTCTTCAAATATTTGAAATTTATTCATAGTTTCTATAAAATCAAAACTCATTGTCTCGTTAAATATTTAATTTTAAGGAATGCTTTAAAATTACATGCATCTTCAACGTATATATTACTTCGAAATGTTTGTTCTTGCAACTAGATTCAAAAGACAAGATATCCCGTCAGTCGTCCGCAATGTGCTAACAGTTTAAACTGCAAAGTAAAGTTGCAAGTTGGTTAATATCAACGTTTGATTCAGGAAATCCAAAGAATAGTGAGCGAAGATCGCGGATGGGTAGACACACCGCCCGAAGCACCGATTTTCTCAGGAAACGGAAGCAGTTATATCGCAATAAGTCCGGTTAAGGATGGTCCAGCCGGTTATTATAAGCACATCGTTTGGGTGAATGTCGCTCGAAAATTGGTTGTGCCTCTTACGCACGGAAAGTTCGAAGTCACCCAAATAGTAGCATGGGATCAAGTAAACAATACCATGTAAGTCTTATTTCATGTATATCAATTCTTTATTATCCTATATACCATGCACGAGAGAAGAAATAATTAACTATTGTTACAATTCATTCTTTTTGTATATTTTTTTAAACTTATTCAAAAGTGTTTTGTTTTCATTAACGAATATTTCAATACATAGCTAAGGTCAACAAACGTGATACGTAAAAGTATTTATAGAAGTTGGAATTTTAATGCAATCAATTTAAATTGTTGTCATCTGCAACAACTACAACATTTCAAAACACGTTTAACCCTTTGAACTCTGTAGGCTCCGATATTGCACCAGTTATAATATTAAATATTCGAATGAATCCCAAAGAAACTACCCTGAAGTTATTCGATTTTCCGCACATCCAACTGTTGCAAGAAGGAAAATAAAAGATCGAAGAAATGTTATAGCGTTTCTAATTTTCGCTAGGAATACTATAAAAATTAGTTGCAGTTGCTGATAGATTCTAAAGAACCTGGAGTGCTAAGGGTTAAAACTTATAATTTTCTCCGTTTCTCATATTAGGAATGTAACTAGATTGTCTTTGCTTTCGTTTATTAGGAAAAGCCCTATTTTTCATTCTTTTTAATAGAATTAATAAATTCCTAAATATTAGCGTGCAGCATGCTTGGCGAAACACATTTGTTTGTATCTTCTGTTTTGTTTGTTTTCTGATATATTTGAAAAATCATTATCCAAGCATCTGAGCTCAGGATATTGCACACCGTATTTTACCTCAGCGACTTTAGGTTTAGAAGAATCGTCTCGATCGATAATAATGACGTGTTGAAGCTAACAATTAATCACCATAAATACCGAGCCGAGTGCTGCGAGTGGACGTCTCCCTTTGTCCCTGTACACTTTTAAACCTATGGTCGCTGCTATAAACGGGGAAGCCGCACTGTACACAAGTGGTCCCTGAATTTTTTAACCCTTTGCACTCGAGAGGTGACTCAGTCACCATACAATTCGATATACCAAAATCATAAAGTCTGACATATAATATTAACACGTTCGCTACTAGCGTCACATATTTCTGACGGCCGTAATCCTATATTTTACATAATGAAAATGAAATTAATCCTATAGATACTGCTTTAGAAATGATAAACTATGACATTATATTTAGGGACTCAATGACTCGTTTCAGTTAGATTTTTCTAATATTTTGTTTAGAAGATTTATTGGATTGAAGAAAATATTATAATTGTGGAAGCTGTTATCGAAATAAGTGCTGGTAGCGAACATGGTAAGCTTTTTATAATCCATGAATATGTGAAATATTGAAATAATAACTTTGTTTCTAAACTTATGTGTATTCCCTCATTCGATTCGTTTTAAAGGATGTCGTCTATAATTCATTGGAAATTGTTGAATATTTCTAGTGAAAGACTTCCGAGTGCAAAGGTTTAACATGTCTTCTGTCAGGAGAATTTAGAGCGTTTCGTATAATTACTTATCGTATCATAACACTTTACTGATCGGTAGCGTTTGAACATCTTAGATACTTCTCACCGATCACTCAGCCGCAACTACTTTTGTGAAACCAGTTTATTGTTCCGGCCTGAGGGCAATATGTTAGACATCTCTGGCGCAGACTGTCGCGCGGGAATATATGCGCTTTTGTTATGCCCATAAAAGTGTGAACCCTTTGCGATCGGTGTCGCCACAGTGGCGACATTGAACATTCGTTTTCGAAATCGGTCTCGCCAATATGGCGGCATGTTCTTCTTTTCTGAGTACAGTATTATTTTACGATTGAGAGGTATTGTATTTATTATTCTTTACAGAATTTATATTCTACGAAACACATTAACTTTAACAAATTTTTAATATCCATATATTTATTATATATACCTATAGAAAAATAACTTTGAAAATATATATATTTGCTTCGACTAGTTGGTACTGTCATCAGAAAAATGAGCCGATCGTAAAGGGTTAAATCAAACTTTGAGCAAAAACAAAAAGTCGATTAATAGGTTACCGGTCGATAAAGTGTTAACAAAGGCAAACGGTATTAGAATTAGTTGTTTGGTATCATAGTTATTAAGTTATACTATTATTTGGTTACTCATGTTTCCAAACGTTTTAATTCGACATCAGTTTTCTTCTTATAATTGTTTTCAAGTAATTTGGGCGCGGTCAACGTGTTAAACGTACCTTGTACATGACGTCGTAACATTTATTTTCCGCGAATCTAATTTAATTCTTTTACATAGATATTTTATAGGTATACCGCCTATGCGACCAGGTCAGAGACACCTTTATTACGTGAGTTCACTGTTACCGAATGTCGGCACGTCTCTGCATCCTGCAGTCTGCATTACTTGTACAGAATCCTCGGAAGGAATTCCGAAGGATCACCAAACAGTTATCTCTCATCATCGTAGTTCGTCTGATAATTATATACACGATCACTATGAGCCGCGAGCAGATAGTAGCCACCACGTGGAACGAGATCAGGCGAAGGAGAAAGCTTCGAGGAAACAAAAAGCGAAGGCGTATGTACCTCCAAGTAAGTACATTTACTATTAGATTAATATTAATTGTTGTAATTCCTATATCACTGTAGGTTCTATGGATCGTTTTATTAGTATGACGTCTGAAACTAGAACTACCGCGCATTTATTAGGGTTGATGTGTAATCCTTATAAAGATTGTAACGATACATTTTTGTTACCATTTCTTTAGATATTACAAAGAAATAATAAAGTTAGTATTTAGGTGAAATTATTTATTTTCTAAATCAGTTCTGACATTGAATAGTTTTAAAATATCAATAATTGCGAAATACGAAAATTAAAACCCGCCATTTTGACGGATACGGCAGTTCTAGTATTAACGATAATTAGCTGCATCAAGTAACACCGAGGCGGCGGTAATTATATGAAACAAGCTGCTTCAGTTTATAAACTTTACGAGTTACTTTTTTAATGAGATTACATTATGAAGATTCAAAACGATTGCATAATTTCGAATCTTAGAGGAAAAGATGGTAGTTCGGTAAAGATGGTAATTATATTATCATACAGGCATCTGGTGGTTAACGATGTCTTTAATTGCATCTACTAGATTTATGTACAAGTGAACAAATTTACGCTAGCTAAAATACATTATTCCCGTTAATAAGGAGCATAATTAATACAACCTAGTAAAAGGAAGTATTTCTCGGAAATTATTGTGACACCTCGAAAATTGATTTATTTTCATAATACAGTTTTCATATCACAGATTTATAGTTCCATTGAACTTTCATAAAAATAATTTTATTCAGAAATCCCATAATTTTGATTGTATAATTTTTGTAAAGAAATCCCAGATATTGGAGTCTTTCAGTTTAATCTTAATCGTTGTGAATAAATCTCAGATTTATGTTTTCACCTTGAAAGGTAATTGCATGACAAAGTATAAAAAAAAGACGGAATTTCCCTTAACGAAGGTTCCCTACGTTCCCTTGTTTACTTTATTCGCTGGTGTACTTACAATTTACAATTAATAGTTGCACAAGGAGGTGAGGGATAGAATCAGGAAAACTTGGTCTGTTTATATCCATTTAAACCCACCCATAACTAGACACTTCATCTTGCTTTATGACGCTGCACCTAAAGCAGCCGCCTCTACAAGGTGATTCCTAAATACATACCATTACCTTAGAAATAAAAATTACACACTTACATAAACAAAACGTCCTTTCATCAAAGTTGCATACTACTGGTTACACATTAAAAGTACATAAGATGTAACTTTCCGTTTCTTCTTCACTTTTGGACTCTACTCTCATCGGGGTGATTTTTTCTATTTTTCTTCTTTCCTCCCTTTATAAACGATACGTTTCTTTCGCCGGTTCCTCGCTTTAATGTCACCATTTCGGTCAATTTTAAATTGCCAAACTCTTGAACACCGCCTGCTTCAAGGGGAGCGACAAGTAACCTTCACCCCTTTTATATTGATTAATGTGAACAGGTTCAACTTACTTTCAAACGAATCAGTAACTTATATTTCATGAAAGTTACATACTATGTACCTTACTAAAATTTAGAATACGTTTGCTTCGCGCTTTAATACCGTCACAGCAAAAATTAATCTCGTTTTGTGTCGAAAAAGACTTTAAGGTTTGATCAAGGTTAAAATGTTGATACATATATATATGAAACACCCTATATATTTGTAACATTCACGAGTGTTGGTGTATCGTGCCGAATAATATTCTTCTGAAATGTTTGTCTTTGCGTTATTGCGGGTCTATATGTGTTGCGGTACTTTAATTATATCATGTTAACTGCCGAACCAACACTCATAAAAATTCCACGAAATAAAAGCTATTTATTTAATAGAACCGAAACTTTACTGCCGAGGTTTATCATTACGGCTATTCTTTCAACGTTTTTATATCTGTTACATTCTAAAGAAATTTGGTTTAATATTACCATGTATAAGCATTGTCAAGCTTGGCAAATAATAATTGTATCAGCCATGCATGACTGACGTTGTCGTTGGAAATATTCTTCTAATACGGATGCTTTATTTTCTTAGCGTTTAACGAAGAACCTTGTCAATATCATAATGCTATTTTTCCACGAGGGAGCACGAACTATTTTATTTTAGAGTGTTATGGGCCCAGTATACCGACTGTTGCTTTGTACAAAACTGAATTACCTATGCCAAGGCTTATCTACGTTTTGCAGAACAATACACAGTTACGTGTAAGTGATCTTTTTCTCCCTTCTTTTCAATTATGTTTGAACTATCAGGTGCCGGAAACAAGTAGATGGAATTCATAATAGAAAATTAAACAAACCTACGTCTTCCCAAAACATAACTTTCTTTACACAAGTAGAGAATTGTAATTTCATTTCGATATAAAAATAATTTCTCAAATAACATCGACTAAGATAAGATAAAGACAATAAGAAATAAAGTAGAAATTTTATTTGAACAATTATACGAATACAATTACAAATTATAGTCGAATGAATCTTTACGTCTCTTTCCTCTTTTAATTGTGCATAGACCAATACACCAAAACATGTTAATTATATCTTTAATTAATAAATATTTTAATTACATCCCTGTTGTTACATTAGTTTTGCAAAATGTTCAAGAAATTCAATTTGGATTTATCTTTCGTAAAGGGGTGAACTTTTTCCGACGCCTAATACTTCTTCTAATTGCTGATATTTTATGATTTCTAATTTTCGTGTTGCACTATTTGTTTAGGAAAGAGTTGCCAGTCTCGCGCTTCCACAAGTAAAGACATTCCCCGTTCAAATAAGCGGCGGTTATAACGCACAAGTAAGACTACATTTGCCGCCTGGTTTGAGGGAAGATGAAATCACGAGGTACCCCTTAATCGTACAAGTGTAAGTATGACATTGAATTATCGTATTCGATGTTAATAGAATCGTAACATTAATTTACTAATTTCCAACTTTAATTTTAAAATTAAAAGTACCATATGATACACATGCGTTTCTCGACATGAAGAATTATTTTTTTATGTTTACTTCCACCTGCTTGTTGCATGTCATAAGTAGACTGCAGATTTGTCTGCACTTATAGCAAATACTATTGTATTAAAATGTTGTCATTATTTCAATATTAATTTATTAAAATCATTGATAAAGGAAGTAATCCTCTAAAATAGGAAAAGAGAAGAACTTTGTACAGACTAAGAGGACATTTTATTTTGTATTAAAATTCGCAGTTTAGTGATAAATGACTGTATCAACCCCTTGCTTTATAATATTAAGTCAGACGTCTGTTGAAGTTTTCACGCTGTATTTAATAAATATTAATATTCTTCGTCTTTGTTTAGACGAAATTTAATTTAATCATGTTTCCTTCTTATCGATATATACTTTATATTGATAGTAGATATAAGACAAGGGGTTAAAAGGTTAAAAAGAATATTTTTATTGTTTGTCACATTACAATATTAGTACATAACAGTACAATAACAAATGAACCGAATGATAGCGGATTCCCGCAACGGTTGCAGCAACCTACGTGCACGTATTTCTTGAGTGCATTCTACTCATTGTTCAATTGTCGTCAACAAGTTTTTTTGAAGTGATTTTATTGGTTTATTTAGATACGGTGCGCCTGGAACGCAATTAGTAACGGAAATGTTTAAAATAGACTGGAACACATACCTAGCCAGTAGGAAAAATGTGATTGTCGCCCAGATCGATGGTAGGGGCAGTGGAGGCCAGGGTTACAAGTTTTTGCATGAAGTCTACTATAGACTTGGTTCTGTAGAAGTTGCTGACCAACTTGAAGTTACTGAGTAAGTACACGTTTGAATTGTAATAAATGAAGTGTATTTATTTAAAAAATGTGTTGTAAATTTTTGGTAACATTCGTAAATATTTGTAGTACCTACGAAATATGTATACCTTACAGATAGTAATATATCCAATTAATAAAGCTAATTTTGTTTGTGCTTATCTATTGTTATATTCAGGGACTGTACAAGTTGTGTAGACATATTGCAATGCACATATTTACTATTACCTTGATAACAATATTAATATTATCAATATTAAAATTTGAGCTACTGATAACAAGAGTTATAAAACGTTTTGTAACTAAAATTGATTTTAATGAAATTTCATCAACACAGCTGTTAAGAATATTGATAAATTGCATTGTAAACTGAAGTATAAAGGTATACGATTAACATTTTTATCATGACATTTTTCAGGTATCTACGGGACTCGTTGCACTTTGTAGACAAAAGACGCGTTGCTATTTGGGGTTGGAGCTACGGAGGTTTCGTAGCTGCACTTGCATTAGCACATCCCGAGCGAAGTGTATTTCAGTGTGGTATAAGTGTGGCACCGATTGTGTCATGGAAACTTTATGGTATGTTGAAATAGAATTCATTTCCGTATTTTCCTAATTTTATTGAACGCCAATTTATGCGACAGTTGTGAAATCAACTAGATCTTGAAGATCCTATATTTAAACTATTGTCTTCAATCTCAAAGTTATATTACAACGGTAATTACAAGGTATTTATATTACGAGATTCTCAAAGATTGTTCTTCAAAAGAAGATATGTCGTTCACTTTTGTAATCTCTCATTTTTTATGAGGAACTTCCTAAAGGATAAGTAACTAAAATATTTGAGTCGTTCAGAGGTCAAAGTGATTCTATTTGTTAAATGTTTTACTGCAAACAGGTTCTTTAAATGGGAATGTAGTTTCATCAAATTCTCCTATTTTTCATTTCGTGTGAAAAATAAATACTTCATTTATCACATTGTGGCAGATTAAATGGATATTCATATTCAGAAGTGAATATGAAAAATACTCATAGCTACTTTTCACTGTTTGTTTTCGAGTTACAGGGTCTAACACTTGTAACAAGTGTTACTGATATATCGTCCAAATATTAAAACTAAATGACGAAATAACGATTAATGAAATTAATGAAATTAATATATTACAACCAGAATAATAATTTATGTATCGAAAAACCGATTTGGATGCATTAAGATGCTTCATCATTTCCCTAATTCATTTTTCAAATTTCTATCGATTGTAACAATTTCATTATTGCATTCATACAGATTCCGCATTCGCCGAAAGGTACATGGGCATGCCAAATGTTGTGTCAAATTACAAAGGTTACGCGGAATCGGACGTTTACGACAAAGTGGAATATTTACGAGATAAAATGTTTTATCTAGTGCACGGCACTGCTGACGATAATGTACAGTTTCAACAGTCAATGGCACTTGTACGACATCTTGCCAAAAAGGGCATTCTTTTCCGACAGCAGGTATACTTCTCTATTTTCTATATCTATACTTTTATTGAGCCTATTACATATGCTTTTATTTGCTAGCGATATTTAAATATTTATTATTTATTCATTGTTACATGTATTTACCTACTCAAGTTCGCATCTTTTTTATATTATTTGTCATCCACCCCTGACAACTCATTGTAACGCTGGGGCAAGATTGTTTGAAAGATAAACGCCTTTATTAGTGATGCTCGACAACTATGCTCGATAATTAACCTTTTACAGACGAATGTCGACATTTTGCCGAGGTCAAACTGCCATGTTTGGAATACTAAGTTGCGAACAAATGATTTAACTATTGAAACAGGAAGAAATCAATACATAGTTTTCTTATTCTCTATGATTTAAGTATTCGATGTTTAATTTAACAGAATTTGCGAAAGGTATTGTATAGCTTAAACAATCTTCGTCCGCAAAGGGTTAATTATACTGCGGATTTGTATGCATTCTTGGGAAATCTGAAAATGCAAAGTTGCATGTGATGCATACAATACAAGATATAGAAAGAAAAGATATATACAATATCGAAAATATACTACTCTTTATAATGTTCACAGATAGAAGCCACCTTCAATCGTAATTTCATTTCTCTGATCACGTTCTTAACCAGTTAACTGTGTTTGACGAGTATACACGTCATCTTAAAAATCTCAAAATGATACTAACTCTTTCAACAATGAATTGTTTATTCTTTTAGATAAGCATAATTCTTCTTTGTTTTTTTTTGGTTTTTCATTAGAATATATTATATGTGCATTTTCCCTTCTTTTAACGAGTATACAACCCATTGTTTGATTTTGTAACATGCATAGTGAGAGATTTTTGAAACTAAATTTCACAGGTGAAAAGTTTCTATTCGTATGAAGATCCGCAGTTTATGGATAACGATGTACATTCTTCTTTATAGGTGTATCCAGACGTGAGCCACACTTTAGCGGGAGTCAAGGGTCACCTGTACTTATCAATGGCACAATTCTTAGACGACTGTTTTCAGAAGCAAATACCTACCGATACAAAAGCGGGTCTTATCAGTGGTGGTACTAGTTTGTAGCTGTATGTATATAATGTGATTCAAAAAACAATCTAAGATTTTGTGAAAAGAACTCTATGCATAAATATTCTATCTTAATATCTCCATATTGTGTTCCGTTCATTGATATCTTTAGAAAAAAAAAAGATATTTTCGCATTATTTTGTACACTGAATTGATGTTGTAACGAAAGGGCACACAAAGATCGTTATTTACGAGCAACTTAAATTACAATTATTGTATTTTCAATTAAAGATGGAATTTAAATGAATAAAAATGAACCTATGCAATTTTAACAATAAATAAATATCGAAATGTTGAATTTTAAGCAAACTGTTTCTGGAAAAGATCTAAGCGATCGTCAATTAAGAATAAATGAAATAACGTAAGAACCATTACTCACTTGAAGATTAATCATTTATTTAAATATACTTACATGTATATCTATGTATATTGTATAAGTTTTCATTTAAATTAAACTAATTTTTTCAAAGTACTTGTTTAAAATGGTGTTATTTCATTATGCGATGTTCTTGTCGGTAAAATCTTAATGACTGACAATTTTATATGTTATATAGGACTCGAATATATTTATTTGGTTGTTAGAAATGCCCCTTAATTTCGTGGTAAAGTGGACTGGAAGTTCGTACTTATAACAGTGTTACACCAAAAGTAAAATAAATTAAATTCGAGGTAAGTAACATATTTATAGAATACATATAATTACGTGATTAAACACCGACATGGAAAATTCGATGAGATTTCAAGAAAATATTCTATTTTATAAAATATAATGTATTTATGTAAATAACTATAGTATAACTATATTACATTGGTATAGTATAATTATATAAATAGATGCCCATGTATGTAAATAAAGACATGGTGAAAAATATTCCTTGAAAAAAGGAATCAAAAACGTTTGATTCAATATCTCGTAACGGCACTAACCATAGCAAAAAATTTGACTTGAAAAGTTATTTAATTAAAAGGTGTGTTAAAAACTATTACGTTCTTGAATTTTCTTGTAAGTTGTTAAGATACCTTTATGAACCGTAATTCGTTACTAAAGATGTGTATAAACTATAATCTTCATTTTCTCCTCTGATAAATATTATCTATTGTATGTAAAATGAACTCATGTTTTATGCTCGACAGCTACGAATTATTAAGATCATTACAAATTTTTGTATATCTATTGGTAAGTATTATAAAAAGTTGCAAGAAACTCTAAAATACAAAAAATTTGCTAGTGTTAGCGATCGTTGAATATTTATTGAATAATGAATACTTGCAATATAAGAGCCTTTCAGTTTTTTAGTTTAATATTTGGGAATACTATAAAAATTTGAAAAGTTTAGTACAGCTTAAGTTCAATCTAACTACATTAATTTTGCATAATACTCTCATTATAATCATTGTGCTCTATTTTAATCTATAACTATAATTATCTCAGGAAATGTTCAGGAAATGAAATTTAGAAAGTGTCTCAAATATAATTCTTTTTTGTTTTATTAAGTTAATAATTTAGTACACTTTAGTTTGTCTTTAAATGAACGTACATACGTAGAAGATACGAAAGTGCCATTTTTCAAGGATAATCATATAATTTTTTTGCATCAACCGACGCAGCTCATTTTCCACAAAAAAAAGCTTAACCCATCTACCTAGAAACCTCATCAAACAACAAAAATTGTATTTGAAGAATTTTTAAAATAACGAATAGTTCCGGAAATAATTGAATTTGTAGATTAAAATGGGACACATTGCATATTAGTTGAATATAACCGTATACAACAATCATTGAAGGTTCAACAAATTTTTCGATATCACTTTATTGAAACAGTGATACTACAGAATCCATGACACACGAATTCCTCTTGTTGTATGTTTTTCTTATGCAGCGAAAAATAATGGACGACAATTCTATTTCGAAAACAGGAAGGTGATTCATTAATGGAACATTTGTTGACGAATACATAAAACAAAATTAAACGGACACGACATTTCAAGCGAGGTAAGTGAACAATTTGAGAATTCACTCGCTATCATTCAATTTCTTAAATGTAAATAATGATGAATAATTGTTTATGATCTTTTCTCAAACGATGATTGATAAGTTCTTTAACACTGCATACATCATTAGGAATTGTAAGTAAATACATATTATAAGTATATAAATATGTATTATAAATATGTATTTATTTATGTATATTATAATATATATTATAATATTTATATATATGTATTTATATACATTAAAAACGATGTATACATGGAAAATATAAAAATACCAATTTTTATTGAAACTCCGTGTCCATCATTGTATTCGCCTCATTCGCCAATGGTTTTGTTGATTGTCACGTTAAACAATATTCATATGACGTACTATGTGTAATTACATTGTTCTTACTGTTAAAGGGTTAACAATAAAATTATTCTAGTGTACTCTATACCGTTTGTGTACATATCATTTAATCGTGAACTGTTTACAGATCATTAATATAAATAAAACAGACGGACTAACGTTTAATTTAGGAAAATAATTTTATTAAATAATTATTTAGGGAAATAATTTTAGTTATCACCGTATATGTATAACAGGAAGACTTGGCGTCTTCGTTGAACGTTCTAACAGCATGGAAAATATTTTTACATTGTTAATAATCAGAGATAGATTTAACGATCTTCTTGTTAGAACACCTGCCAAGGTGTAGCAGCATATGGTTTTTGAGGTTGGTCGGTTTACTGAAACCTCGACTACAAATATGACACCTGAATGGCCACAGTCCATTGTGCACGTACATATGGCTCTTAAGATCACCAGGGGTTGGAAATGATTTCGAACACTGAGAACATTTGTGTGGCTTTTCCTGTAAAACACAATAATATCTTTTTAATAATAATATTGCTTAAGTTTTGTTTTCTTATTTTGCAATGACTGATAATTTAAACGATCCTCTCAAAATAAACTAAATCAATGCATAAAAATGCACACACTTGTTCTCGGATTATGCTCTTTCTAATACCATTTGATTTTATCTTACAACATTTTTTTCTCTCTCTAACCATTTGGAAGATACAGGCTGTTTCATGTGCGTTGGATATCCTCTACAATAAACATATTTCTCTGTGATAATTCATTTGCAAGTATCATAATGAATCCATAGTAAGCGCTATGCTGCTGTACTGTGGATTAGCACATAACATTTGAAAGTATTCGGAGAATAATTATTCAGCCTTTCTTGGTGTGTTTTTTCAGAAACTCGTAATTCTTAGCAAAAAAGTATTTAAACATATCAATTATGTTATCACAATTTTATAAAGAAACGTGACATTATACAATTTGGGAAAGTGCAATTTGATAAACTTTTAAAATTAAATGCAAATATCTACATAATTGTTATTAACTAATAACATATAATCAATAACTACTAGATATTTACACTTAATTCCAAAAGTTTATCAAATTGCACTTTCTCCATGGAATTGTATAAGGTTACATTTCTTTTTTAAAGTTATATATACTAAATTTATATATATTAGTTTAATAATAAAACTAAAATAAGCTCTTTGATTTATATAAATATGATCTCCGAATTTAAATCAGCATCATTTTAAAGGATGATTTTACTAGTCTCCTCCTAATCCAAAGTGATGAGATTGTAGTTTTGGCTTCATTTTAAAATTAAACAGTATCCAATCATTTAAAATCTGTCGTTACTACGATAACGACATATACGAGTCTGATTGCATGTGATGTTTTTTAAAAACTTCTCATATAAATCCGTAATTAAACTTTGTAGGAGAATAATATTATTCTACTGTGAATATCGCCACATTGGCCAGCATTATTTATAATATAGGAATGTTTTCAAACAATCGTCGCTTAATTAAATGAACTACAGGTTGGGGGTCACCGGTGACCCCCATAGCATTCAACTTGTTAATAAACATTTGGACACAAGACAATCGCGCAGCAAAATGAACTCTGACATTCCCCGAGTAAGCAATAGACTGTCGAAGCGATACGCGCGCCGATTATCTTTAAGGACACTCTGTATATTAGGAAAGGCATTCCTCTTTAATCGAAAATCCAGTAGGGCGAGCATTAACATGCCCTTATGGTTTTCAGCAAGTAAAAACAGGTTTGACGTTATGTCCGAGTTTCTTTTGAGGGGATATCACGGCTCGTCTTATTTTGTCAGGTAGAATCAACCTTTAAAATTTGTCCCACCTATTATCATACGACCTGCATAGTTTTCGTTATGGAAAGTGACTTGTTGAAAACTCACCTTGATATGAGTCATGCGATGATAATACAAGTTGGAGGAGGCCGTAAACTTCTTACCGCAAACAAGGCACTGGTGAGGTTTTTCACCACTATGAATCCGCTTGTGTGTGTTTAAGGAGCTCGAGGTCGAGAAACCCTTGTTGCACACCACACAAACATGCGGTTTCTCTCCTTGAATATAATAATATCAACGCTATCCTCAGATTATTATAATTACGCGTAATCATACTTTCGCATGGCCAAAGTTTCGTATTCTCACATTCTTACGAACCGTTTATTTGTTCCCGTCGTTTCACACGTTCTTCTTTGTTCTCTTGCATCTGATATATGCACTCGCATTTTGACAACTGGCTCGATAACAACATATTCAATGTGACAGTTAATAAAGCGTGTGAATAACGGACCAATTAAAACGTTGCTACGTGGAACGAAGAGGAACGTTGGCCTTGCGTATTTCTTGATAGTTAATTTGATATTTATTCTTTATCATTCGAAACACTATTACAGTTGGTTCTCGATTTACGCGGCATTTGGATTGCACGGTTTCGGTTTAACATTAAAACTACCAGACGAGGCAAAATGAGCCGTTCTTGATTTCTTCTTTTTGAAATTGTTAAAAAGGTAACTGACGTTTAATTGAACAGTTATTAAAGAAATCGATTTAGCAGGCAAACCGAATCGTAAATCAATGAAAGTCTCGATAGATGCACTCTTGGAGGTTCTATAGAGGAATTTCAACAAGTCAATTTAACTGCTCGGTAGTTTTAGTGTTAACACGGTTCAAAAAGGGCGGAAGAATTTAGATAACACTTGCATCTTATTTTAACACGGTCAGGTCAGACAAATGGTAAAATTGTATTAATTTATTTTTTGCAATATTACAACCATCAAATGGGTATTAAGAGAACAGACTCTTCTAAAAAAATCTTTGGTAAAAAGAAAGCCGAAAAGAAGAAACAGATAGGAAGAAAATGAATTGACAGAAAATATATTTGCGTGGTATATACAAGAAATAAGACAAAAAGAGTGATAGTGGTAATTTCTTGTAATATATTTTATGCTAAAAGTAACTAATACCGTTTCATATGGATTTGTTAAATTGATTACGTGTATATTCCTTTCAATGCGAATTCTGAACTGGAAATTCACGATTTCAATTTACACGGTATTTTCGGGGAACCAATTGTTGCAAATAATATTGAATGTCGTTGGTTATTAATATAAATAATTGTAATATTAATATTTAATTAATCCAACAGCAACTTTAGAAATCTTCCTCGAAAATCTTAGAAATTAGATTGTTATTCTGAACCACTTGTTATCCCTTTTTAGCATTCAAAAGGTTAATGAATAAATAATGTGTTTATAAAAGTAGTGCAAGAGAAAGAAAAATATTCGTTGAAACATACTGGATTTATTATTTATCGTACCTGTGTGTGTTCTCATGTGACGCTTTAGAAGAGAGGGTCTGTCGAATGACTTTCCACACACTTCACATGGCAGTAGAACCCTTTCGCCTCTTTTGATTGTCGTCAGAATACTGCAGTCCAAGTGATCGCCCGTCAAGGATAATGTCGATGAAGAGGACTCTTCGGATGTTGACTCGTACTCGTCAACTTCGTAATACGAATGTGAAATTGCGGCTGGCGAATGTTGAGAAAGTAGTGCCATGGACAAGTCTAACGGGGATTCTTGAAACCGAGATTGAAACAATGTAAAATCGCTTTCATTTGTTTTTTTATGGTGAATTCTCATGTAAATAAGAACAAGTCATGCTATAAGCAAGCGTTGATTATTGTTTTGTAGTTGTAATTTTTCGACATATAGAAACGAAATGAGAAACCGAAAAATGACAGTTATAGAACCGATATAATATTGATTTCGCTAAACCACAATTAAAGCCAATATAGCTCAGAACCTAATTAGTACATTAACATTAACAGATTTCTTAATATAGCAGATTTCTTATATCTCATATATCTAATAAAATTCGATTCGTTCAATACAGTATCAAGAAGATTAATATTCAAAGTTATGTAAAAAAATAGTGTTACCCAAATTCGGACGACGTCCAAGTGTTAAATGGCAATTTATAATGATATACAAGTTCATATAATACAACAATGTACTGATATAATTGTAAGTGTTCACTAAAAACATACTACATTATACATTGTTACATACAAGTGTAATATTAACACGATTAATTAATACTAACATACTAGCATAAACTAAAAATATAATATTCGCATTTCGATACGCCCAAACACCCCCAGAATTTTATTTCGAGTCATCGTCGTCTAAATTCCTTGTTCCTCCATTAACCATAAAAATTGCTCTTGTCTCGTTGTAATTACAATTCTCGCGATTAACAAATACATTGTTACACGAAAATATTGATAAACGAAAAACGATTCGCGAAAGGATCCGCCAGGCTCAGACGTTTTGTACAAAAACGTAATTCTATTTATTCTTATGTTATAGTTTTTGTCGCACTTTATA